GATGACCTACAGAGGGCCCTTCCAACCCCTACCATTCTGTGATGGTGTGACTTCCTCTTCCTCAGGATGCCCTGGTGCCGGGGAGGCTCTGCTAGTGACAGTGTGGTTGCTTTGAGTGTTGGTGGCTTTGCTTTAATACAGATCCCGAGGTGAGAGCAGCACCTGGTCTCATGCAGCACACGGCTGCATGAGGGACTGCACAGGAGAATAAAAGTCTGGTTGTGGCTTATGCAAACAATGGGGCCTTTCTGCTGGTACAGCTCTGGTCTCATCAGGATGCTTGCTGGCATGATTGGGTTTTTGTTGTGTTTCTCTCCACCTATCTGGCTCGTGTAGGTCTGACAGATCAGCTGATGGATCTTCTGCGGTGTAGAGCCCTAGGCTGTGCTCAGGTGCTCTGGAACATCTGGCTCTGGGGCTGCATCAAACCACCGCAGGCCGATGATGTAGAAACCTGCGGCTGAATCACGGCAGTTAGGAACGTTGGTGGGGTGGGAATGGATCTTAGGTAGGACTGGGTATCGACTGCCCGCATTGACCTGGGATAGGGATTTGTGAAGCCTGCCGTCCTCCTGGGCACGCCTGACTTGCGACACACGTGCACCTCAATGTGTTCTGCTGGTTTCCCAAGCCTCGGACTAGCCCCTGTGTGGCTCTGTGCTAAGGCTTTGGGTCTGAACTTTCTCCAGCTCTTTGCCAAGGGACTTGCCAGAGGCAGCCTCTCGCACAAATTCCAGCAACCTTGACCCTAAGTAGCTGGATTCGCCCCGATGGCTGAGTGCGGGCTGCATCCAGTGGAAGCGCAGGAGTGCTGTCTGCCACGGTCCTTGGTTGGAGGTACCAGAACTGCTTGAGTCCTGGTGGGAAATGGTTTTGTCTGCTGCAGTGTAATACGATTGGGTACGTGGCTTTTGCCCAGACGGCACAGTGTGCGCCTGTTTGAGGATCTGGAGCAATGCTGAGTTAAGCTAAGTTTGAGAGGTGCTATGAGGCATTTTGGGTGCTAAAGAATGCCCATGACGTTCTCAGCAGATTTGAGATGCATCCTGGGCTGGGGCTGTCATGGGAAGGAGCAGCCTCAGCTTTGTCTCTGCTCAGAAGCAGTTGCTCCAGCTATAACTCGGGAAATGAGGGCAGTGTCACCAGCTTCATGGGGGAGGAGGGCAGTTGTGCGTGAGAGATGATCCACGTTGCCTCCATAGCAGGCCCGGTAGCATCCAGGATGTGGCTGGGATCTGATCGTTGCGCCCAACTCTGAGGCAGAGGCTCTCTGGTGCTGCTTACATGATCCCATCTGTGGCTGTAGTTTCTCTCTCTCTTTTTTCTTTTTCGCTGCTGACCCCGGGAAGGCACCAGGCTGCGTAGCACTGCATGTGGTGCCCAGTGGGCTGTGTGCTGTGCTCCATGCTGCACCTCTGTCCAACCACTGCTGCATGGTTACTCAGCCTTGTTCCTCTGGCCTGCCCTGAAGCAGGGCTCCTGTTTGTCCTGTCCGGCAGCTTTTCTTGAGCTGGTCACGCTTGAACCCCAGAATGACAATTCTGAGAGGGCGAATGGGGACAAGGCTATTGAACCGTCTGTTTATCGTTACGAAGTGATGTGTCAGGTACAAAAACTAGACGAGATCCAGCTTGTGTCTGCTGCGCACGTGATCACGGCTAACTCATTGAACTTCTGCTAACGTGTCACCATAGTGCAATTGAACTTTAGCTCAAGATAGCAAATCCGTGCTCCACCAGGGTTGTCAGCTTCTTTACCACTATGCCATCAGTGACTCTTCTGTATCTGAGACTGCTTAAGTAACAAAAGGGAGCAGCACACTTACTTACCAGAGCTGGGAGAAAACATTACTTTATAATCTAATATTCCTCCAGAGAGAATCCTGAATCTGCTTGTCGGGAGCCAGATAACCAGTGACCTGACACCTTTGACAAGAAGATAGTTAAATAAGTACTGGAGAGAAACTGCTGCAAGCCCCTGCTCTTGCCTGCCAGCGAAAGGGGTGTCCACAAAGTGAGCGTGCATAGTATTGAAATGGGTAAAGTGAGCCTGAGCAAGGACGAAGTAGAGTCAGCTGTTGTGGCAGCGCAACATGGAGGCATCTGTTCATCTCTGAATGCTGGGATGGGAGGTGGGACCTGATGTAGGTGTTTGGACTTCTGTTGACCTCACAGCTCAAGCTGCAAGTGTCTGTCTTGCTGTTGCTGGCAAGCCAAGACTTTGAGACTTTTTCCATATGCAGCTGCCCATAAAAGAAATTTTTTTCATGTCTCATGGACTCTGAGAACAGAGAGGAATGCAGGCAGCACATTGGCTGGACACGTTCCTCCTGCTGGTACTAGAGTTCCCGAGGCCAGCAGTTTTCTTCTTCCTGTGACCCTGGCAGCTTCCTGTTTGCTCCAGTCACTGATTACAGAGCTGAGCAGAGTTGCAGAGATCTAGAAATACTTCCTATGTTTCCAGGGAATGTCTGAGCTCTGATGAGATGAAAAAAAAAAAAAAAAAAATTCTTTATAGCTAAGCCTCACATCTTTCCTCTGCAGCCTGTACAGTTTACTGTTGCGTTTCTGAAGGGGTAGAACATCAGTTTTAGTGAAGGCGAAGAAAATAGCAGGTAAGGAGTCTGTGTGGTGAAGCTGAAAGAATAAAAAGCTGGTGGATCTGATCTACCGAAGGAGAAGGAACATGCTGGCAACTAGAAGTACAAAGGCCTTGGAATGAGAGATGTGTGCCCTGTGTTGTTACTTACACACATGGAGATAATAAAGCCACAACTTTGCAGCAAGCTGAGGTCAGGCATTTTGTGCAAAAACTTCTCACTAGCGTGTTCTTAGTGGTGTGGCGAGTTAATGAACAGCAGTAATAACCACCGCCATTCTTGCTGCTGTCTTGTCTTAATCCTTCCAGCTGCAGCCATCTGCCCCATCTTTGCTCACGCAAATGTTTGTGTGCAATGCAAGATCCTGCATGGAAAGTGAGTGCCTTTCACCTGATTATCAGTTACCTCCTAGGCCGTTGTAGAAGGACCACCTATAGATGTCCTGATGCTTGAAGCTTCTTTCATGTGGCTTCGTAAGTGGATGACCATGGTTGCTCGGGTGATGCTGACCGTAACATGCCAGCACCGAGGATGAATAGCCTTTGCTTCGTGTCTTCCATTAGGAAAACGCAATGCTCTTGCCTCCTAATTCCACTGTAAGTGCCTATGGTGACCTGCGGCAGCCTCTTACGTTTCTGAGAATGGTAAGTGTGGGCCCTGCTGAGGGGTTTTTTAATCATGTTGAGGCTCTGCTAGCTCCTTCTGTATGCCCACCACCCCCAGTTATTTTTCAGCTAGCAGTGTCAGTACAGTGCAAGATCTGAATTGCAGCATTGGCTGTTGCTGTGAAATTAGAGTAGAAAATGCGCCAGATGGTGAGAGAGTTGCTCACCTGTTTCTTCTTGCCAGGTAAAAGATGAGCTTAGCATAGGTAGTCAAGAGTGTCATCTTTTCTGTAGTTCTCCCTCCAACATTGGTTGTGCTGTGTTTTCAGTGTGAGATGTTGTGGTCAGTCACCCTCTTTCAGACTCGATTCACAGCCCCCAGCAGCTGCTGAGCTATGATCTGCATCGACGTCCCACCGCTGCTGTGGTTGTGTGTACCCTTGCTCTGCTGGTCAGGCTGGGGATGTGCGAAGGGGCATCGTGTATTATGGCTGGTGAGCTAGAAATGCGGTCATCTGCTTGTGCCCGTTCTGGGTAGGATCTGTTTGGCAGGTGTGGTACAGTTCAGCTCTGATCTTCACTGTCCAACCGTAGCTTCTGGCCTAAGGATGCACGGATTGCCCTCATCAGTCTGCACGCTTGGGGAGATGTCTTGCAAGTGGCCCATAACGGGAAGATTTCTCCAGAGCTTGGCGAAATGCAATTGATACCTTGAATCTCCTGATGTGAACTTCCAGTTTAGTCTTATTCTTCCAGCTGATACTCTCGTGCTCGGTAGAGCACCAGGAGCAGGCGGAAGGAGCTTGGAAAAGAGCCGGGCTCTTTCCAGGCATCCGCTGTGCCTGCTTCTTCCCTTCTTGCTTGGATTGCTCTAGTAAAGCTCAGTTGTGCAAGGGCTGGGATCAAAGGCCTCAAACACCTGACTGGATGCATCCAAGTTTTGTGTAAATGCTTAGATGCAAAGAAAACCAGAGTATTTGCTTTTATTCATGGGTAGTATGAAGCATGTTAGACAAGCATATGCTTAAGAACGGCTGTGTGGGAAAAACGGCAAGCGAAGCTTTGATAAAGATACAGCATTAGGAAATCTGCTTGCTGCCTCCCTTTTTCTTCCCCTCTTCAAACGTTTTGCAAATAGTTTTCAGACGACCGTTTGATCTTGAATTTGCGTGTCGGCAGAGGCTGTGCAGTTCTCTCGGGAATTAGCAAATCGTAGAACAGGGTTAACAGGAGTGTGTTGTGGGCTGCTTTTAAATTCCTCCCTTGCATGAGCCTCAGAACGGCCCTGGAAATTTCTTGCTAAAAAGTTTATCTTAAAAAGACCCGGAGCTATTACAGGCTCCGTTGTTTCTTTTCAGATTACCTATTTAGATTTGTTTGATGTCAGCTGTTAAATTTTATCCAAAGAAGCATCTGCGGGGAAACAGGGTGGACTGAAAATTTGAGTGTCTTCTATGCCAGAAGACATTCTCCCCTTGAAACATGACTGTGGAAGTGTCGTGGTAATTGGCAGGGCATCAGAAATACCTCTAGTGCTCAGAGTGAGCTCTTCTTATTTCCTGAGTGTTTTGGGGCTTTTTGATTTGCTTTGTGCTACGTGATGACCTGGAATCCTCAAGGGTATATTCAAGTGAGAAGGTGTGATCTCTTGGCATGTTAAACTTTGCTGGTACCACCGGATGGATTCACAGTCGTTTGAGCATTTCCCCACTCCCTTCCCGTATGTAAAGGGATTTTACTCTGCTGCCTTGGAGCTCAGTGGTGTGAAGTCCCCCGCTAGAGAGGAGCGACGCGCGATGGGCTTGGTGTGCCGGCTGCTGCGTGCCAGCAATTAGTACTGACCGTGCTGAGCGAGGGGCCTGCGGGCTGTGAGGCTGGAAGGGACGCTGGGCTTTCAGTAGCGTATTTGTAAACATTGCTAAAAGGCAGGAGAGAAAGTGTCGGCCCCCCTTGGTTACTCTGTCAAATGGGGGGATTTCTCTGTTTTCACTGGGGTGGATTTTGTGAGTGCTTGTCCCCCAGCTTGAAACTCGTTTGGCCAGATCCTGCGTGGCCGGTTGGAAATACATCATTTATTCTGGCTTCAGAAATGGGAACTGAGCTGACGTTCGTTGGAGGCTCGTTGCTCTCTGGCTTTTCTGAGTTCCTGGACTGGCTTTTGAAAGTACAGAAGAATTCCAGCTCTCTGTGTACACAGCGATGCACGAGACCTTAGCTGGCTTGTCCAAATGACTCTGCAGATTAATGATTGTCAGAAAAACTGGGCCTTAGTGTGAAAGGTTAGCTAGAAGTATTCACTGAGCTCAGGCCCGTCTCTGCCATGGTCCTCCTCTGAAAACCCGGGGTAAACACTGTGTTAGAGGGGATCTTTTGTGAGGAGAGCAGAGCTCAGCGGTGCCGAGCGGCAAGCTGCCTCCCGAGTAGGACAGCTCGAGAGCCAGCGTTGCCTTGGCCTCTGGGTACGGGCTTAGCACGGCACGGAAGTCAGGGCGGGAGCAGAGGAGCTAGGAACGAACCATGGCTCCGGTGGCATGCTCAGTGCTTATTACAGAAGGGTCGTGGCTCTTGGAAGTCCTTGCCGGTGTCGTGATCGGCTTTGCTCAAACAGTTCTTGACACTTTGATGCAGAAATGGCTGTTATTAATTCTTCCATCTTGCTCAGCCAAGACTAGGCTAGATCCTTCTTTCCAGCACATGGTATTTGGGGCACTGGAGTTATGGATTTCTTTTGCCTGCTGAGCAGTGTTTCAGTGGAAGCTATAAGAATATATAGCTGTGTTTAAGTTTGTTTATTGTTTTAAAACCTCCTCCGTGTGCTTTTTTTTAGACGTTTACTGTCTAATTCGTATTTTAAGTTGATATTGGAAATTCTGAATTTGCTATACTAGACTGGGCCCAGTTAGTCTACTGACCTCAAAAAGGTGATTCAAAAGATATGTAAAAAGAAAAAAAAATTAAGAAGCCTTTTGTTGCCACTGCAGGAGTTATTTAGTGGATTTTTGGTTAGTGACAGTTTGTAGTCTGATGTTGGCAGTAGTATAACTGAGTGTTCTCATTACGCAGACTTTAAAAATAATGGATTTGAAAGCTCTAAGTAGTTTGTAGGCAGTGTTTTTGCATACTTGCTCTGTGTGATAAGCTGATCTTGAAACTTACACATCTTGCACCTTGAAATGAATTTCAAAACCAATATTTACTATATAATTTGCACCCCTCTTCCCCTTCCCTGGCAGTATGTGGTTTTATGCAACCTGACTTCACAGGCATTACTGTCTTTGAACGCCAAAGGTGAAGAGTTAATTATTCACTTTTCCTAGGAAGTGGAGACTTGTACATGTCTAAACCTTGTTCAAGCATTTCTGTCTGCATTACTAGAATTCCCTTGCCCAACAATTTTTAGCGTGGGGTCCAGCAATGGCATGGAGTTAAAATATGCCTAGGAATTGTATGGTCAGCAGTTAAGTTCCTAATGAGAGCCAAGCAGCCTAAATCCACCTTGGGGAAACAATGCAGGTTGAAGGAGGAATTTTGGTTAAAACTCTGGGCTTTGTTAGGGGATCAAAATTTAATTAAAAATAATCTCCCTTTGACCTGGTCTCTGCACAGCAACCTTCTTCCTACCCCCACCCGCAAGTTGTCTGTGTAGACGAGAGGCTACTTCTGGGCGGTGAGGTTTTTGGTGGTGGTTTTTTTCCTGTCTACTTTCTTGCGTGTTCAGAGTAACCTCCAAGTGTGCAGTCCCACCTTACCGCTCAGCTGAATCAACTGTAGTTAATTTCTTTCTTGTAGACAAACTCAATCTAAATGTAAGGCTTAGAAATGGCTAAATTTTGTGCCCACTTTGTCAAATCTCAGGTATTTAGCTTGCCCCTGACATACTTCAGAAAGGTAAGCGAATCTGGGCGAAGTTAAGCTCCGTGAGCGTCTTCTCATATGTTGCAGAGATCTGTCCTGTTCGTTGATGATGGGCAGATGGACCTTTGTGCTGTGTTAGTCGCCCCTCTAGCCTAAGCAGGTGCTGTCATTGGATCTTTCGGGTTCAAGTTTCTTGCAAGGTGTGAATGAAATAGTCCCTTTGTACCATTCTTCTGCTCCATCCCAGGGGAAGCCTCAGGGAGGAGCTTCTCTGGTGCTCCACACATGCTGTGGCGCAGTTGCAGGGTTCAGACCTTCTCTGGGTCGACCACCGTGTCCCTCGGGTGGTTTGGCTGTGTTTCTCTGCCAGCTGTATCCATAGCCTCTCTGAGGTGCTGTGGTGAGATGAAGGTATCTCCTGTTCCGAGGAGGTTATAAGCTGTTCTTAGCCGGACAGAGCCTGGATGACTTCTCTTGCCCTGGAATGAATGCTTGGTAGATCAGAGGGGGCCAGTGTACACCGCAGTTAGGCAGCTGGCCTGGGTAGGTGCTGGACATCTTGAACCACCACGAGTACTGCAGACACCTATGGACAGGAGCATGGGATCCACCTTGTTCCGGCACAGCAGTAAGTGTTGTCTGGACCATGGTTAGCAATGGTGTGTCTTCCCAGCCAGAGGTACCCAGACCTGCCTTTGCTCTTCCAGACAACATTTGAGAACAGAGGAGGAAAGCTCTTTGAATCTGTGAAATGGGGACTTGAAGCTGTTGCGTGGAAGAGAAGTGCTGGCCAATTCTTCTTCATAGAAGGGCAGAGATGCACAGCAAATACTGGCTACTCCACCTGGCAGAAGGGACCTGGTGCCTCTCTTCGTTCCTGTCTCCCATCCACCGAGTTTTTGCAGGATGTGCAGTGATTTTTTTTTTTTTTTTTTCAATGTAGACCCAAACTGCAGTTAAGCCCAGCTAATGTTTTTGGTAGCTTTGGGCTCCATGACTGTGGTAAACTGAAATCAGTCTACCTGAGAAATGGCATGCGTGTACTTGTGTGACTTAGATGCACTCTGTGCTGTTGCAGCTGTGGTGTTGTCAGTATATGTATTGTATCAAAGCAGGACTGGCTGCCCCTGACTTCTGCTGAAAGGTTGCACTTGGCCACTGAGGAGTCAAATGATACCATGAAGAGCGACTAGCGATTATGCAGGGCCAGGATTTTCAGGGAGAGCCACTGCTCTCTTGCTTTGCTCATGCTGAAACCCAGAGCTCTCGCTTGCTGCAGCAGGAGATACATCAGTGCTGCAGACCTTGCGTGTGCAGGCTGCTCTTCCTTGGAAATGCAGGCAGGAGCTTTGCATGTGGGGTTGGAGTAGGAATGTTTAGTTGCCCGGTGCCTACCTACAGATGTGATGGTGACTGCAGGAGGCTGGAGGTAAATCTCAACGTTATCTGTCGTGAAACAACAGCTCAGTTGTAATTTTGGTGTACAACTCACTTTGTTTTTTTTTCCCGTGGCAAATTCTCTCATACATAATTAGCTGTAAGCTTTCTTTAAGAAATGCGAGAGATGAGGAGACCTAGTGTTAAATGAAACTGGAAATGACCCTAATGAAATAATGCAGTGTTTTCTCTTCTCTTTTTCAGTTTAGAGTTTCTGTACCTTGGAGGGAATTTCATTACTTCAATTCCACCTGAATTAGCAAACCTGCCTTCTCTAAGCTATCTGGTTCTGTGTGACAACAAGATCCAGAGCATTCCGCCTCAGCTAGCACAGTGAGTATTTACTGTCATCAGCCACCAGCCATAATTAACACTTTGAACTCTTTCTTCTGCATGTGTGGATAGAATCACCTGGGAGGACCTATTTGTCCTTCAGTTGGTTAATGTGACTAGGCTTGAACAAGGAGATCCTTAGCATGGTGCACTGCAAGCACAGAATCACAGAATGTCCGGGGTTGGAAGGGACCTCTGTAGGTCATCTAGTCCAACCCCCCTGCCGAAGCAGGGTCACCTACAGCAGGCTGCACAGGACCTTGTCCAGGCGGGTCTTGAATATCTCCAGAGAAGGAGACTCCACAGCCTCCCTGGGCAGCCTGGGCCAGGGCTCCGTCACCCTCAGAGGGAAGAAGTTCTTCCTCATCTTCAGCTGGAGCTTCCTCTGCTTCAGTTTGTGCCCGGTGCCCCTTGTCCTGTCGCTGGGCACCACTGGAAAGAGTCTGGCCCCGTCCTCCTGACACCCACCCTGCAGATATTT